CTTATTCTACTGAGCCATTTCCCCTGCCCTTCTTCCTTGTTAATAGACCAATTGGAACAAATAAAGCTGCCAGAACTCTGATTGGACACTCAAAACTCAAGCCAAAAACTAGAACCCGAGGTACTGTTTCTTAAATTTTCTCTGTGGCTGAGGGGGACTGGATTTCCTAGGCTACAGTTTCTTTACCCATACAAAGACACTCAGCAGTGCTTTCACGTGTGGAGGGGGCTCCTGGGCTTTGACGCATCCATTCATAGATTCCTGACCTAATCTAGACCTGATCTTTCTGGCCAAGACTGTTAGGAAGCTCAGCATTGTGTGGAAATGACACTGGTCTTGGAGCAGGGAGCTCTGGTATAGGAGCCAGAGCCTGGGGCTTTCTATCTCTAATGTCATTCAAAGTCTGAGAATTGCTGGATAAATTCTTGCATACGACATTCTTTTTTATTTATTTTTATTTTTTGGTGGAACCAGGGATTGAACTCAGGCTCTTGCGCTTGCCAAGGAAGCGCTTATTCCACTGAGCCATCTCCCTGGCCCCTGCTGGATAAATTCTGCGACTGTCTTCCTGCTCCAAGACTTTAGGGAGCAAAACAATTCTCTCTCTCTCTCTCTCTCTCTCTCTCTCTCTCTCTCTCGCTCGCTCGCTCGCTCGCTCCCTCTCTCTGTCTCGCTCTCGCTCGCGCTCTCTCTCTATCCACCCTTGTTTCCTTATTTTTAAATTTTTATTGTCACAATATCAAGGCAAATACATTAGAAATCTCTCAGATTTCAATAAATAAAGAAAAAGGGCCAAGAAAGAAAGAGGATGGGCATGGAGTGCAGATACTTCCCCCTTCATCACAGAGAGATGTGACCGTGTTTTAGAACCCATCCCATCCTCTGGAGGCCTCTGTCCAGAATCCTCTGTTCGGAGGTAATGGACACGGAGCTGCTTCACTCTGAAATCTGGTCTTAGAGGAATGATTTTGAGCCTCATGCTCTGCACACATGTGCAAGTGCATTTCTTTGGGTCTTCTAAAAGAGGTGAGCAGAAGTGGAGCCCTTGTGCACACTTACACGTCCGCGTCTGTGTGCAGTCTCTTGTTTGCCCCGTGAAGGATGCGTGTGTGAGTGCATAACTGGGAGTGCATGTATATGACTGGAAACGTGGAAGGTGTGTCTTGGTGGCACTGAGTGAAAATAAATGATTTTCTATACAGCCTGGCATGTGAAGTGGTGTGTGCCTGTGTGCAGATTTTTTTTTTTTTTTTTTTTTTAAGTAAACCACTTAAGATCATGTCGCCTGCCCTCACTTCTGTGATTGATTTTGCAAGGCTAATGGTGCGTAAACGCGCCGGTGAGATCTGGGGGCGCCTGCTAGCCTGACGTCAGAGAGAGAGTTTAAAAAGGGGGGAGCCTGTGGAGAGCTCCCTAGCCGCGGGAGGAGACGCGAGCAGTCGCCGCTGCCTGCAGATCCTCGCGTACTGTGTGACCAGCCGCGCTCCAGCTCGGCTCCCCGGCTCCTCGAGATGCTGTCTTGCCGCCTCCAGTGCGCGCTGGCCGCGCTCTCCATCGTCCTGGCCCTGGGCGGTGTCACCGGCGCGCCCTCGGATCCCCGACTGCGCCAGTTTCTGCAGAAGTCCCTGGCTGCTGCCGCAGGAAAGCAGGTAAAGAAACTCCCTGGACGCCTTCTTTGATCTCTCCCTGGTTTCCCAACCCTCCCTCGGCCTTTAGCAGGTGTCTGGTTCTCCTCAAGAGTTCCAGGTGATTCTTTTGAGTCCCGCAGCGACCAAAGCTCACAGAAAAACTTTCCAAGTCTGGAATCCCTTTACCTCGGATTTTGGCTGATGAGCGTAGTCGGTCGTCTTTCAGGTGAGTTTTTGCAAGGCATTCAAGAACGTTAAGAAACCGGGTGAAGGTGAGTACAAAGGACGGTGGCACCGAGCCGGGTGCTGCCCGCAGAAGTCGCTGGCCCTGGTGCTGAAACTCGGACTTCTCCTCCGGCACAGTGGAGGGGCGAAGGGCTTGCCGGGAGGGCGAGTATGCTTATAATTGTGAGAGGTATCGCTCTCCTAACGTTTACTTTGTAAGAAAGATAGAAGGCATTCCACTTGGTAGCTCAAGATATGGAAATTAAGTTAAATTATTGGCGGGCTCCTCATCTTTGGAAAACTGCTTTTACCGTCTATTTCTCTTTGTGCATTTAAAGCTTGCAACATCAGAGCACTCGCCGAAACGTGAGCTTTAAAAGTGTAGCAACTACCTTTATTATTCTCTTATATTTCAATTGATTTTTAAGTGAGAAAATCTGCACCGCTGTGGAAGCTGGACTGTGACTGAGTCTGTTTTCCCCGTGACCTCTCCTCATCGTCCTCTTCCTCTTGTCTTTTCCTCTCGGCCCCTCACAGGAACTGGCCAAGTACTTCTTGGCAGAGCTGCTGTCTGAACCTAACCAGACAGAGAACGATGCCCTGGAACCTGAAGATTTGTCTCAGGCCGCTGAGCAGGATGAGATGAGGCTGGAGCTGCAGAGATCCGCGAACTCGAACCCGGCCATGGCCCCGCGCGAGCGCAAGGCGGGCTGCAAGAATTTCTTCTGGAAGACTTTCACGTCCTGCTAGCTCTATCAGTTATTGTCGTCTATACCAGACCTCTGATTCCTTCCTCCAAACCCCACTTCTCCTCCTTAACCCCTCACACCCTCAGCAAGACCCTTGCATTAGAAATTGAAGGTTGTAAATATAAAATAAAACTATGATGAAATTATGGAAAACAAAAATTTTGTGGTTTATTAAGTAAAGATTTCTTTTCAATAATGGGAGATGAATTGGAGTCAAGCCATCAGCAAGCATATCTGAGAGATGCGTTTTCATTCTTACAGTGGTCCTCTTAAAACTCTCTGCGGCAATAAATGTTATATTTTAAGTGATAAAACTTATAACGTGGGTCATTTCAAATTGAGATCCTTTCACACAATCCTCTAGCAATTCAAACATCAATTCGGTGTTAATTACTGGAAGGGGATTCCTTAAAAATCAATTACATATTAAGCACACCTAAAAGTGTATGTTGGATTATCTAATTGAGGACTGATATTGTGGGTAGGCTGACTGAAATGACCAGGCTGATAAATAACATGAAATATACTTAAAATGGAAGGGTCAGATCACTTAGCAGTTGGGGAAAGAAACTGGCTAAAATTTTAAAATAAATACTTTAGTCTTTACATTTTGTTCCTAGTTTGTGAAATTTTATCTTCAGAAACACCACTGGTTTTATATCTTACCTGAAAATTCTCTCTGTAACTAAACAAGGTAAAGTTGCTACATTTACTTTAAAAGTAAGCAACAAAAATTTTGCTCAGGCAGGAATATTGCTTTCCTTGTCAGATTTCGGCCAGGGTTTATCACAGGGGGCAGGAGGCAGGTGCTTTGGGTCACCTCCCTGAACAATGTGCTCTGTTAAATGCCCTGGATCTCAAACTAATTACTGCAGAATAAGTAAAGCAGGAATCTCCAGTCCTCTGTTGATTTTTTTAAAAATCAAAATGGGAGTCAGGTATAAATGCAAAAATAAAAATGAAAATATGAAATTATAGCAACATACTAAATGATATCACTCATTAACAATTCAACTCATAGAGATCTGAAATAGACACACTTTGGGAAACACATTTTAGCTACAAACCATATTTCTGCCTAACTGTTGATGGAATCATAAACCAAACATTATCGTGAAGTTGCTAATAGAAGAAATAATGGCCAAAGATGCATCTATATTTTTCAAAACTGGGTGTGTTTATTAATGCTCATTTTAAATATGAATGCAGCTTTGAGGGCACTGATTCTTGAGCAGCTGATCAAACAAGAAAAATCTAAATGACATCGGTGATTCCTGTGAAAACCAAATATCCCTTGGGGTTGCGCTGCATCTTCTATTTACAACACGTTGCGTGGGGCATGCACGCGTGCCCACTTGGGGGATTCACCCACACTAAATACTCAACGCCCGCGTGGTTGCCCACCAACTCAGCGGAGTAAAAGAATCACATTGCCATGACCAAAGCACAGAAGAGAGCACAGCTTAATTGTTTTCTGAGCAGTACACGGACTGCAGAGGTGCCAAGGGATTTCTGTTGTTACTATCGTGTTTAAGTGTCAGTTCCCAACAGTATCCGGAAACTGGCAAGGAGTACACAGCCACAGACACATGTAAGGCTCATGCTTCATTTAAAATGTGAATCCAGTGAAACATTTCCAAAGGGCTGCTTCTTCTCAGCCTCCGTGTCTTTCTCTCTGGAAGTAGAATCATGTTAGGGAGGGTGTTTGCATCCCTTACCTGCGTGACTGTTGTTTTACCTCTTCCCTTTCATAGGCCGCTTGAAGAAGCTGATTTGGGGCTCTCTTACCCATCTAAGGCATATATTGGTCTCATTTTATTTTATTTTAAATATAAGGAAGATCTTACTTCTTACTTCCTATTTAGTTCATCTGGATTCCTCTTTGCTTTGATTTTCTGAGGGAATCTAGTACTCCAGCATGTTCATTTTCAAAGCAAAATGAACTTTTCAGGCAGGTTTCCTTCTTTCTCACAGCGCGTTTCAGCGATCCTGAACAACCTGCCCTTTCTCTTCATAGACTGGCTTGCACAAGGCATTCTTCGGTTCTAAATTGCAGTTTTGCCATCTAAAAATGGAATGCAAAAGAACCGATGCTTTGCAATTAGGAGTATTTGCTAGGAACATATACCTAAAGGCCTCAGAACAGGCTAAGTGGCTGCAAAGTGCTAGATGCTGCTCCTAGCTTCGTTCCTGTGTGTGATGTGCTTTCTAGACCCTCCTTGCCTTCCCACATCTTGTCATTTCCATAGACTAAACCGAGCCCAGCCTTCTAAACCCATTCATATGCCTCTTGATCCATGAAATTCCTGTTTTATGCTCTCACTTGAATTTGCCTTCCTGACTTATCTGCATTTCTTCTATGGTGCTTATCATTTTCTACTGTTTCTTACATTCATATTAGTCTCTACAAGAGACAGAGTGTTTGTGTGTGAACTTCTTTTTGGATGAAAATATCTGTACTCAGTGTTTCTTATCATGCTAAGAACAAATGATCTCTCACCTCTGATGACAAGTGAGACAAATCTCTATTTACTAGGTGACAACATTCTTCCTTAATGCTGGCATGGGAAAAATGACCTCAGCGTCCACTGTATGCAACACTAACATGACACCAGTAAGAGACAGCACACGATTATAATTTTAATAACCACCGAAACATATGTCTAATATACATTCTCTTTTTTGAAACTCTAGGTAGCCCAGTTCTCTAGAAATTTCTTACAAAGCCTCAGAGAAGGCCTATTCACTGTCCGACAATCATAGGGCTCACAGTTCTAGAGAATCAAATTCGCTAGTTCTTTTCTCATATTTGTTTATTTCGGGATCATGGTCATCTGTTTTTGACCATAGCACAAAATTGATTTTCTTGGATGTTAAGGTTTGTGTATAGTTGTCCCACCAAAGCCTCAGGCAGTCTTGGGGAAGCTTCTGGAGTTTGTGGTTGATTATTGTGGGCGTGGATGCTGCACCTGCCCTGGGGCAGGGAATTTGCATTACAATGTAAGGGGGGAAGAGAAGCTAGCTGCTTGAGCTGCTGCTGCCCCTTCCTTGTGCTCTTGCTCTTTGCCACCACCATGAAAGGTTGCTTTCTGGTCTGTGCTGCTCTTTGTTGGACCCAGCTGAGCATGGACTGAAGCCTCCAGTGACTGTGAGCTAAATAAACCTTTCCTTCCTTCATTTTGAGTGTCAGGTATTTGTCCCAGCAACGAGAGAACAGTAACTAAGACATTGGCCATGGCTCAAAGTATTCTTAATATGTAGATGACGTCTTATAGAGTACAGAATACACTCTTTGTGCAGAATATACACCATAGAAGGCTCAGCCCCTGTCTGCTTCTCACCACCAAATGTATCAGAAGAAGACATGGAGGTGTTAAATAATCCATGTGAGATGGAGCAGAAAGGTGATGCTGAGCTTGGACAAATCTCAGGTTCTCCCTGCCATACATCAAGGTTATTTCTATTATCCTGTTGCACTGCTCATCAAAGAATCAGCTCTTCTAGATAACTGGTGTGTTTCCTTCATCTGACGCAAATGCTGATTTTTGTCTCTGAGCTTCTTTACCTTTCACCGGACAACTGGCCTTTTTTTTTGAGAAGGCAAAAGGCAATAGGTGCAGGCCAACTTCCAGCACCTACAGAGAAAGAGTAGGGAAAAATGCTAAAGTCATCGATGAGAGGAGAAGAAGCCAAAGGGAGATGGCCTTACCCTAAATAAAGCTAAGCTGTGAAGAACGATTCTGTCCTGTTCTGAGGACAAAGGGCCATCCTTAGAAGACAGATGCCTTTTTTACAATAAGGAGACAGCAAGCAGATGTGATCTTCCAGGAAGTTCTCATCCATGTCGAGACTAGGGTGACAACACCACCATGTCGAGACTAGGGTGACAACACCACCATGACCTTGTCTAGCTTTTCAGTAAGTGAGGATGAGTGTTTTTAGTCCAGGTGTTTGCTTTGCTTTTATTTTTTAAATGTATTTGGTATGGGCTCTACAGGGTGTTCAGGGTCTCACTAGGTAGATCAGACTCATAGTGATTCTCCTGTTTTCAGCCTCCCAAGTGCTGGGATTGCAGGCACACACCAACACACCCAGTCTCAATTGCCATTTCAGTGTGCCCAGGGGCAGGGCTGGCATGCCATGCTGGGGATCAAATCCCGGCTGCTGCACTCTGCCTAGGCAGGTGCTTTAGTATGCTGAGCTGTCTAGCTGGCCCCAGGCACTTGCTTTTGCATCACTCCAAAATATGCCTCTGCATCAGGACTTATCACAAACTTGGAGATAATTCATTACAAATAACTAAATGCTACCATGGAGTTTTGTAAAGACTGGTAAAAGAGAGAGGTAGCAGCAACCCCCCACTTTCTTTTCCCTGAAATATTCTTATTAGATTTTGATTATGACTTGGAAGCCTAGTGATTTTATTCTAGATGGAATGACTCAGTTGAAGTGCACACTTCCATAATATAATTTAGGTTAGTTTGAAAAAAGTGTTAATATTTCTCTTTCCAAGATGTAGAAGCTGAGAATCAGATTAGGTAGCTTGCCCAAGATGTTCCCAGCTAATTAGAGGTAGATTTGGACCCAGGACATCTGAGTTTTAATCCAGTGCTCTTCCCATGGCATCTTAGGGGATGAAGGGAAGCTTGGGGAAGTTGGTAACTTGATAGGCAAATTAAAAACAGATCGGCTCCAGACCACTTTAACTTAGCTCTTCTATAAATGGTACAAATGGGTATTGCTACTCTATTATTGTTAGAGGAGGAAGAGATTTAAGCTCTGGGATTGGGATTTGATTTTGTGACTTTATTAAGGACACTGGTAGCAAGGAGCTGTTTGTAATCTTTCTTTTCACGTGTTTAGCATCAAAATATCAGCTTTACTAAATAAATACATGAAAATAAATCAATGGCATCATGTTTTAAGTACCCTTTTTCACACTCAGTCTCTCATGCAGGTGTTAGTACAATGTAGTGTTGAACCAGTTGCCAATCTACTTGTCATAGTCTTAAATATGAGCTGGGACATTTGCTTCATTTATGACCAGGGAGTAGCTGTGTACTATGGTTTGTTCCCGAAACGTTTGTGTGCTAGTAGCTCAACCTCCCTTGCAACACACACACTATATAACAGGGTTCAAGAGTCAAG